AGAGTGGTATGCTACTGAGTCTACTGAATTAACCTAAAAATGTTAGAGAAGGAAGAGATAAAATAAAATACAGAGAAATACAATAAAAATACAGTACAAAATACGGCAGTGGGCTATGAACTTCACCAAGTTTCACCAAACCCATGTGGAACTTCCCAGAGATCGCACAATCAATGTCATTTACCATGAAATTTTGTACACAATGGTCGACGATTGGCGCCCAAAATCCCAGCACACAATTCCAGTAGTGCCTAAATCAAACCATCCTACTATCCTACACAACGAAGTCTCCGCATCAATCCCTTGTACGTCCATTGCATGTTAACAGGAAGAAAGACCATGATGAACTTGGCGGAACATCAACAATACTACTCAATGCTGCCGCCTTGTGACCAGAGTCTGCCATTCTGTTTTCAATTTTATAAATGATTTGGATAGAGATGTTCAAGCCAAATTACATTTATACGCTGATGATACAGTGGTTTACACCCAGGCTTCCACCATTTCAGCAGCAGTGCAGGAACTTCAGACTGCATTTCAGGCATTGCAAAATACGTTATTGAGTCTAAAACTGGTTTTAAATACACAGAAAACAAAGTTTATGGTCTTCTCAAAAGCTCGAGCACAGCTACTTGACAACTGTGGCCTCTTATCCTTAGATGGGAAATCAATTGAGAGAGTGAGGATATGGATAGATGATAAGCTCTCCTTCAATGAACATATTACTGCGTTAGTCAAGAAACTTAAAGTCAAGCTTGGCTTTTATTTCAGAAACAAATCTTGTTTTACTTTTAGTGCTAAGAAGAAACTTGTGGAAGCTACTTTTCTGTCTGTAATTGATTATGGAGATATATTGTACATGCATGCTGCATCTTCCATCTTGCGTCATGTTGATTCAGTTTACCATGCATCACTACGATTCATAACAAATACAAAGTCCCTCACCACGAGTTGCAACCGAAATGGGAAGAACTACTTTTCTTATTCAGCACCTTGGGGTGGAATAATCTACAGAAAGAGCTAAAGTTAGAAACCCTTATGTCCATTAATGAATTTAAAACTACTGTAAAGAATGTTGTGACGGAGACATGTTCTTGTTTATCTTGAGAGTCTCATTGTGTTTTTTAACATTTTGTACTTCTTTTATCATGAAAATGTAACTTGGTGTTTGTTATGTATGCATTTGTTGTGATTTGGCTGCTACCTTGGCCAGGTCTCTCTTGTAAAAGAGATTCTGAATCTCAATGGGACTTCCTGGTAAAATAAAGGTTAAAAAAAAACCAAAAAAACATGTACGATTGTGGAAATACACTTACAATCTACTTCACACTTACTTTAAATTGAACAATGTTACTCTCAAACAAAACAACAAAGAGCACATGTATTCACATTTACACAACTTTTAGAACTATATTAAACCAAAGTGGAAAACTTGCCTGTGACTAGATTTACCACCCGGCACACACATATTTCTAACTTGTAAATCTCAACTTAAACATTAATGTAATCAAATCAAATATAAAATCAAAACTATTTGCCACTGCAAGGGCGTTACTTTTTATCTAGCTTGTTAAAACAAGTTACCATCAGAGTCCAGTTTTCTTGGGGGGTTTGCTGAACAGGTATCAGCAGAAACAGTCTATGTTCAATCAGTAGCAAGTTTTCCCTGTTAGAAAACCTCCTGTTTGTGAGTTTCCAGAATCTATTACTGTTTAACTAAACAGGACATCAACAGGAGGGAATTCACACGGTAGAGCATCCCCACAAAACTAGATGTAGACCTATCAGGTAAAGTTATGTAGCCTGTAATTTTAACTTGAGCTACAGTTGTGTAGCGCATAAAAGCCGTTGCCATGGTTACTGTCCATAGAGTGCCTGCTGTTTACTCGCGGAGCGCTGTCTGCATCCAGCGTAGTCTGCCGAAACCTCCCTCCACTGCTTGTTTGGGTGGGTGATTTGCAGGCCGATCAACATCCCGCCCCTCCAGTGACCCAGGGTTTGACTGTAGTCCTACAAATAATTGTTGCCGTTAATTAACGCAATAATAACACGTTAACGTGCCCAGCCCTAGTCTTTGTAAATAACTTAAAATGTATATTCTTCAGACAATATAATGCTTCAATAAGCTATAATGTTTGGTTTATTTTGAAATGTTGTATTTGTGAATGTATATATTCATATATGATAGAGTTTCAAATATGTAGGCTTTTCTTTACAATAAATATCAATCTTTTCATAAAAGAATATATTTCTTTTTTCGTAAATATCTAAAGTCGTGTTCTTAAAGAAAAAATTAACACAAACAAATAAATAACACGATTTCTGTTTTGTTATTATTATTATTATTATATAGCAGTGAGTGCAGCGGCAACATCAGATCATATTTATGCTGGGGAAAGGGTAGTTGTCCTAAAGTTAGCCGCTGTATTTCTACCCTACGCAGGTTAGGGAGCTTGATTTGGCTGCGAGGGGGACTCCGACTCCGAGTTCACTTCGTGTCGGAGTGGAAGTGACGAGGGTCTAGTTTCAGAAAGGCCCTCTGTCTCAGCTGTACTTTGTGTTTAGCAAATTAGCATGCAAAAATTGTGATGATAGTAAACATACCTAATAAATATCAGCACATTTACAGTGGCATTGTGAGCATGTTGCTACTGTTAAAGCTCTGCTGTGCCTAGCTGTTTTATTTCCCTGGTAGAGTTTTGACAACTGAAGACAAGATATTTCTTAATTAATCTAACAGGGAAAGGAAAGACAGGTCTAGCATGGAGTCACTAGCTGACCCCACAAGTGTTCACTGACCTTCTACCTCTCATTATTTCTCACATGTAACTGTCCTTGTTAGTGAGACAACAGTTAGACTGATCAGGTAGAGACAGTAGCTCAGGCGTCAGGCTAGCAGATATCGATGATCTCTGGGAATCTTACAAGGTTGAGTCTTACACGAATCTTACTGGCTCCACAGATTAGAGTACAATTTGGGATAGTGATAGATTCCAATAAGTTGTAGCTCTGAAGTCTAAACATCAGATGGATTTGCTGTTCTAGGTTAAGGCCAGCTAAAGATGACGTAAGAGGGAAACCTACTGGCCCCAAAAGAAGTTCTCCTTCAGATTTGGTGTTGGCATTTGACATGTTCACGTTGTATGCTGGCACTTTATCTCCTCGGCTGGGCTCAATAAACCATGCTATGTTAAGTCTTCGTCAGTCTCTGAATCTTCTTCACACCTGAACCTGGCTCACAATAATTCTTCAACAACGGTGGGATTAAAGCTAGTCTTAGGTTGGGGGTAGAGTTAGGATTAGCCAATCAGAGGTGGAAAAGGTGGCAGGACTCAACACAAAGCCTCAAAGAGCCACTAGCTTTGTCTTGATTAAATGTGTCTCTGGAAAGTTGTCCAACTTTATGGAAGTGCAAAGAGCTGGGTCGCCCATTTAAATGTGATAGCTAGGTTTTACAAATCTGCAAAAAAATTCATTCATATGAACTGTGGAAAAAATATTTCTTTGAGTAAAGTTTACCTGCAAAATATTATCTGCCAGTGTCAAGGCCCATTTGAATAGAGATCTACCGCAACGGAAATCAAAGACAGCGCTTCAAGTGTTGGTGCTGCAAAACGTTTACAAGGTGATCCATCATTGTTGCCATGTAGCTGATGCCATGGGATGTTGCTTGTGATTAGATTGGCCTTATTGTAGATGAAAACAGGAGAAGATTCTGACCAGAGTAACAAGGAGCTTTTTGTCTTGTTTGTGTAATGTTCTATGAAATTATTATTATTTTTTCAACTTCAGCTGTGATTGTGCTGATCATTGTTGGATTATCTTTGGATCTTTTTAAAACAGTGCTTTTGCGCTGGAGGAGAAAAGTTACTCTCCAGTCATTCAAAGCTTAATTTAGCTATGTTTGACCGTTAAAAAGAAATGGCAAATAGCTAAATGTAGCAGAAAAAGAGCAACATGCTCATTTTATTGAAGTGGTGAAATGTAACTAACTTGTTTTAGCTCTGGTTTGGTCTCTACCAGCTCTTTAGAAAACTACCTGACTCTTTAGCTGCTAAATGTTCCACTTTCTTAACCAGCTAGTCTCTAACGTTGTCTGTCTGCATGCTGGGAGGCTAGTGTTCAGTGGGTTTATCAGAGCTTGTTTGCTGGAAACAGTTGACCGCTGGTTTGATGAGAGCGCTAAGCCTGGCGGTAAACGTGCCCCAAAACTAAAACTAGGATCAAGGAAAAGGCTAAAATGTTGACTCTTTCTGAAAATAACTTTCAAGTGTTCTTATTTTTTTTTTTTTATCCAAATGTCCCTTCCCAGCCACCATGAGTGTCCTGCCATGCAGTTTTCTCTTCCTCCTCCTCGTCTGCCTCCCCGTCCTCACTGAGACCAAGCGGCAGCCTGGTCAGGGAAAACCCGACAAACCCCACCAGCCTCCGCCATCACAGCCACCGGCCAAAAGACCTAGAAATCGTTCAGTCCCCGGTTCTGGTGAGCTGACTACCAAGGAGGGCCATCGCTGCACTTGGCAGACGTCTGGTGAAAGCCTGGTGACCCTGGTGGTGAACTGCAGCACTGAAACATTGGGAGACCAGCAGAGGTGAGTATCTCACCTGACTCGACTCTCTGATGGTGGTAAAAGGCAACGTCTCATCCACAGACTCTACACGTGATAGGGATATTAATGAAGTTCACCTTTTAATGCCTTTAAATTCATGTCACCTATAAAACTGACATGTTAATGCTGGTCATTTTCAGTCATATAAATAATTCAGGGGTTCACTTGGTGAGGAGGACACTCAAACTGGAACTTATTATTCAAATCACCATCAGTGCAGAGTTTTTGGAAAACTGCGTATGATACATATTTATGACTATGAACATATGAGCTGATCCAAAGTTGGACAGTCTGTTTGAGTTTGTAGCAGGAGAGGTAAATCATACTGTGTGTGATGTTTAAAGATTGTTTACTTTTCAGAACAGTCTTTGCCAGTTAAACAGAAACATGTCATACAAACGCAAACCAGGGTTATTGAGTAGTGATTGCACAGCTCTCAGCACAGGGGAAAGGAGCCTGAGGCCCAGTTCCCAACCATGTAATAAAACAAATATCCACTTGAAGAACAAACCTCACAAGTACTTTAATGAATAAAAATTAGGGCTGGGCACGTTATTATTGCATTAACGCATTCATAAATTAACGCAGACAGTTATTTTATCGCACGTTAACGCAGTTTTTATCATTATTATTTTGAAAGTCCATTGCTCACTGGCTATGAATACATAAAGACCATGGGTCACAGGAGAGGTGGGATGTTGATCAGCCTGCAAATCACCCAAACAAGCAGCGGTGGGAGGCTTCGGCAGACTACGCTGGATGCAGCGTGTAGGAGAAGCAGATAAACAAACGCCATAGCGAAGTGCAGAGCTACACACTGCATGCTGATTAGTATTGTGGAAGATGTCGGTCTTAGGAACGTTCTCAAAAGGTTCTCTCAGGTAAACAGACAGGGAGACAAGCGCCCACAAGTAAATGGCAGGCGCTCCATGGAGGGTAACCATGGCAACGACTTGTGTGCGCTGCACAGCTGTAGCCTATTTAACTTAACTAAGCGAGGATCAGTCTCTCCTCCAGTGATTTGTGCTGCGCGTTGCGTCCAAAAAGTTCAAGACAATTCAACTTCGGCAGCGGGCGGGCGTGTGCGTGAGGTGAGCACTTCACCTCACTCTAACAGGGACACTTTCTGCTGAACATAGACTGTTTATGCTGCTCCCTGACAAAAAAAAATGTTTCTGCTGATACCTGTTCAGAACCCCCCATCCCCAAGAAAACAGATTTATATATGTTAACCTGTTGCTCAGAAGGTGCCTGTTATGATGTTATGATCCTCTGGACAACAACAAGCTAGATAAAAGGTAATTCGGCACCAAAAGTGACATCAGCACCAAGAACGAGTGTCGTCACACTGATTGGTCAAGAGGGGAATCACCAAGTTGCTCTCAATCATGGTTGAGTAGTCAGTCCCCACACCCTGTGCAACTGGTGATCTGAACGATCATCTAATCATCCCAGAGGAATTTTGACATTGAGCCTGAATTAATGGGGAAACTTGGAAGTTAATAGCCACAAATACATAAGAATGAAGGACAGCTACAGATTGTGGTTTTGGTTTAAAGAGTTAGTTTTTATCCATATCTATCCATTCAACCATTTCACTTGGATTTGGCACCTTTTTCTCTGCTTTTTCTGCTCAAATGTCAAATAAGCAATGCAATATATTTATTCATTATTATTTTATCTAGTTTTGAGGTATTAAGTGACTTGTATACAGTGGTACCTAGACCCTGGAATAAAACCAGCAAAGTAACAATGACCTGTTAGTATAACGGAGTGCTTTGGCTTTTACCTTTCTTGCATTTTGACTCAAGCTGACTTGACACTCCCCCATGCCCGAATATAAAAAACTGCGCAGCGCATCAACATAGTGCGGTGCTCAATTAGACTGGAGCGTGTGGCTTCCTCCACCAAGAGGGAACAATCACCGACCGTCTGAAGCGCACCCGACCGTCTCCTGGCCCTGGCCCTGTACGCCCCAGGGACCCACTCCCTCTCCGGTGCCTATAATGGGTTGTGTAGTAGGCCTACTACCAGCGCGCTATTAACGGTTCGCTGGCTGGAGGGATTTTACGCATAGACTAATCCATGCACAACATGCCCCCACGGCCTTGTCTATTTGAACACGGGTATTTTGAAAACCGTGACTTTTTCTGTGTGGTTTGGCTGTTCGTCCACACGGAAACGCAGTATCAGGTCACTGAAATCGCACATTTTTGAAAACCCCTGACCAGGTGATTTTAAGAAACTCCGGTTGCAGAGTTGTCATGTAGACCGTAAAACTGGAGTTTTTGCCTTGCGACGTCAGAAAGCGCACCGTTATCTGCTGTGTTTGATGTCAGACTGTGCGCCACTACCTGCTTTGTTTTCCCACCAGTGTCCGTGCTCCTTAGAAAACAACAGGTGTGTCCTCCTCCCATCATGCACATATCCAGTGTGTTGCCTTGGAAGCTTTTTAACTAAGAAAAAGTGAGCTGAGAATAATGAAAGCCCATTTTAATAAGCAAGAAGGCAATTACTTTTGTGGTTGTCTAGACACAGGTGTGCTACTGAAGTTAAACATCTGTCACAAAGACCTGCGTGGTTTGTCTGAAAGTCAGTTTAAAAAACCTAACAAGACTCATGAAAGGCATTGTTTACTTTATTAAAAAATGACAGATTCTTTATGATTGTTCATGACTTTAATGCCAATTAATTGCTTAAAGTCTCCTGGACCCAAAGTGTAGCTCACAATCTCAGAAATGCTCCTTGAAGTTTTCCTCATCAGTTTCAATCCTTACATGTGTGTTGGCCAACTACAACATTTATGTACTTCTTTCTTGTCTCCCAATTTGTTGTCATCTTCCTCTTGTTTCTCACTCCCATCCTCATCAAACCGCTCCATTCTTCTTGTTCCTGCTTCTGCTCCTCCTCTAGGTATTGGTGTCGTTACGCCGGCAAACCAGACCTTTGCCAGGCCTACGGGGTGAAGTCCAGCCAGTACTGGAAGCAGCTGGTGGGGAAGCTGAAGAAGAGGCAGAACGCCTGTGAAGGAGAGAAAGTCCTGAAGGCCAAAACCTGCAAGAAGGCTCCTGCTGAGGCCCACATGAAGCTCGCCCAACGCAGCGGAGAGGAAGAGAGGAAGGGAGGGAAGGAAGGAGGGAAGAAAAAAGGGCAGCTGACCAGTAAGAGCTCAGAAGGAGGGAAGGCAGAGAGGAAGAAGAAGGAGGAGGAAGAAGAGGAGAAGAGGAAGAGGGAAGAGAGGCCTGGCATTGAGGAGGAAGGAGTGCTGAACGACATGGAGCCGGTGCAGAGTTACTGCAGCGAGGGATGGCACTCCGTCTGCTCGTTCTTTGTCAAGTTTTTTGAGGGTTGATAGGAAATTATGAAGAAAATGTAAAGCTCATTTTTGATACATACTGGTGCGAGTTCACAATCTGGAATAAATGAAGGTTTCAGCCACTTTGACTTGGATTTGGTCATTAAACATATCACTTTGTTAGTATGACCTTTTTGTATCATTTTAAACTTTTACAAATGGAGCCCCAGGCACCTAATTTACAATGTTTTAGTGGTATGATAATTAAAACCTGGCAATCTGTATTATCTATATAAAACCATTAAATCAAACCTGTCAATCCTGAATGAAAGCCACAATTCATTAAAATGTTCCTCCCAGTCATTATGAACACTCACCGTCTGCTGATGTAAATTCAAATACAAACCAGTCTTATTTTGTTTGATTTCAGTTTGCGTTAATCGATCATATTTAGCTTTGGGTCATATAAAGTTTGTTGTAGTTTGTTTTCTAGAAATGGTAAATCAGATGAAATTGAAAAGTTGAGCTGTATAAACTGTGTAATGTCTGACTAACAAATAGGTGTAAGAATAATGTTTTGGTGCACTATAATCTATCAGTGATCATCACTGATGATGATGGTGTTGATAGTAGTGATTACTAGATGAATAGATGTGTTGTTTAACCTTGTTTTTATGACGTGTTACTAACAGTTTCTATAAACTTTGTGTAACTGCTTTGTAAAAACAATCTGGTTACTGTTTGATGTGATTTGTGGCAGTTAGACCCGTGCAACATTTTTAAAAATATTTTTCAAAGACATTTTAACACTGTTTCTGGAATTCTACAATAAAAACAAAATGCTTAAAAATGCTTTTTCCCCAGTTGTTCCATGTCATTTTAAATGCAAGTTCACACTGTCACCTCAGAGATTATTACCTACAGATATAATGTGCTAACATCTTGGCAATAACAGTATAAAAATGTAGTAATATCATTGAAGGGGTGTGAAAATACACAGGGGGGCAGACACTGGGATGGGGGGGCACAAACAGACAGCACAGAGAAAGGACAAGACCTGTAAGAGAAGGGGGATGGAAGGTGGGGACAACAGGGAAAAGTTGTGGGAAACACCAATTGCAGAAAGCAACGAAACCTGCAAGAGAACAGAGAGGGGGGCTTGGGGAGGAGAAAAACACAACAACAAACAAACACAAACAAAAACAAACAATAAAAATAATAATAATAGTAAAAGACAACCAGCCGAACAGCAGCAATAAACAGCTGACATATTAAGACAACTAAGAGTAAAATGAAAACAAGAAACAGTCACACACACTAAATAAGCAACACAACACAGCCACGAGAGCTGGAATAATAATTAATTTAAATAAGTAACTGAAAGAAAGGCATCAGGAATAATTCTACCAGGGACAACCTAAGTTTGTTTGTGTCTGTGTGCGTGTGGGTGAATGTGTCTGTATATTTCTTATTTCTACTTGCAATTCTACTGCATTCTCCACCTTATTTTAGTGATTACTCACTACTTTAATCTGCTCACAATCTTGCTTTTCCCTTCAGTTCTCTTTTACCTGCACACACACTCACCTCTGGTCTCTATGTTTTTTTCCGTTTTCACATTAGCAGGTGCGCCGCAAGTGGAGGAGGATCCACTCCTCATGAGTGTATCCAACACTAGCACCCCTTCAGGTGGTGTTTGTCCAACTCCTTTTCCGTACAGAACCTACGTTTTGGAAATCATGTGACCTACGTCACATGACAAACACGTAGAGAGTGCAGTGACACAAAGAAGGTGAACCCCGACTGCACAGCTGTTGGGTTCACTGGTTGACATGCATACAACAGGGCTTAAAGCAAAAAAATTCTGTGCCTGAAATGCGTTTGGGGGTTACAACAAAGACAACTCTGCATTTCCTGCATTCTGGTAAAACTTTTCTGCCACCACCTATAATCAATGTTTGAAGTGGGAAAAGGGCTGGGCGATATGGCCAGAAATGTTATCACAATAAAAAATGTCACATCATTGATAATTGATAATTATCACAATAAATGTCAAATCATGATTTTTGCTCCTGAGTGAAAGTTGGAGAAACCAGACAGTTAATTGTGCCACTTGAAGCCAAACAGTGGACACAAAACAATCTTTTTTCGACAAAAATAAGTGCAGATTTGTCTATGATTCAAATGAATTAAATGAAACATTTATTGAACATTTGTTAAATTGTTATTGAGGATTACATTAATTATAGCGAGATAATTATTATCGTTTTATTGCCCAGCCCTGCTGGTACTCCCCATTTACACGTTGCCTTGTTTATCAGCCGGTATTAGGGTTAATGTTAGTGTATTCATTATAATTTCAGATAGCCTACTATACATCTTACCACTAGCATAATATTAGTTCCAGCTGGACAGCAGTTTCATTTCTGTGGGTTGTTTCCATTCATTACATTTGTGTAAGAAAAATGTTCTACATGGTGGTCAGTCTCTAATTAGTTAATGCTAAGTACTACTCGTCAATAATCATTCATGCAGAACAAGTTCAACATTTCTAAAAGTTTGCTGTAGCGCATCAAATGTTTTTTAGTGTCCCGTCGCCTCCAGGATGTGATTAGTCTGTTCTCGAAAAGCTACGTTGATGAGCAACTTTACGCACCCGACTGCATGAAAAGCACAGAAGTTTCTTTCTCCTCTGTTTCTACTGGGAGATTAGGAGGCCGGCGAGAACAGAAACAGGTGAGCGTCACATAGTGCCCAGAGACCCTGATATGGAGAGGATACCCAAGAAAACTATGCCAAAGAGTAAAATGTAGAAGTACTGGTACCGGTGACCCACTTTAAGCACTGCTAATAATCAAAATTGACGCCACTTACCAGCCGTAGCCCATCGATGGATTACATTCCGACAAAACTGGCCTTTCTATGTTGGAAAAGGTCCAGACGATCCAATCCAGTAAAATATTTAGTCCAAAACGCATTTTTACATCAGTAAATCCACACGGACTGCTATTACATCGTTTAACTACAGTTAGCAAAAACAAAAAAAACGGTAGCCTACACCTTGACCTTTTGAGTGACACCTTAATTGACCCAACAGAAAATTCGATGCCCTGTCCACGACCTACAATAGCCAATGAGTGTCCACGTGGTGAGGAAGTGCCAGTCCCCTTCTTTTGTGTATACACCGACAGAGATTGTGCTGAGGACTGCCGCTTCACACACACATCACATTACTGTTAAAAAAATAAGCAAGAATATTTTCCACAGACATAATTATATTTTCGAATATAAAAACGCCCCGCACCGGATTTCCGGCACTGTGCCGGAGAACTTTAAGCCCTGATACAATCACTGACTTAGGTTAAGACACGCCCCTGTGAAGTTTAGGGTTAGTGGCTATGGGGGGGCTGTCAACGCCTTTAGCTAGCTAACGCTACAGAGCTAACATGGCTAATGCTACTTAACGTAATTAAAAAAACAAATCAATCTTGTTTCCCACAGGAACTGAACCTGGAAAGCAGCTAATTTGCTATCCTTACACCCAAACCACCACTACTAGAGTGCAACATCGAACCCAACGTGGTACTGACTTACATCTGCGCTGGTGTGTTCACTGTTGCATTACCTGGTTTGTGCTTTTAAAATATCCACTGTCCGTGTCCATAATACCAAGTAACATCTCTCTCTTTGTTTCTCTGCAAAATGCTAAATTGGGTCGCCAAATCTAACTGGGTGGCCATTAAAATATATAACCACTTATTGTTTCCACCAGGTTCCCAAAATGCTGCCACACAAACGATTTTTAAGTGGCGGGGCATCTTCTATGCTACATTTCTCCCATCCACTCCGTCATGCTTATATCGTGAGACAGCTTTTAATCCCAGCACTCGTTCCCTACAGGAGGTCTCTGTCTCCTGTGAGGCCATTCTTGTCAATAAGAATCTGTTCTTTAGTAACTTGCATGCTAAAAGAAAAAAACCCCCCCACAAAATATCTTTTCACCTGGATGAGAAATATCGTCACGGTTTAATAGCGCGACTGTCTCATGGCATCTCCTCACACCCCAGTAATAACCATATGATATTTTAGTATCATGGTTATAACATGGTAATGATATCTTTCATCTGATTATTTGAGGTAGATATTGTTTTAATAAAAGGTGTTATGTCAGTCAAGTAACTTTACAAGCAGAGTATAAAATTTAAAACCACCAGAACAAATAGCACAGGTGCTTTATATTATGAGGATCTTTTCTGTTTTTCAACCTGACTTCCATCTGTCAAATGGTGACCATTCAGGCGTAGCCACCTTTTAGATATTTTATTGTTCTCTCATAACGTTATAAATTATTGATGAGGAACAGTTCAGCTTGACCTAATGTGTCCTCTCTTCCTGTTTTTCCACTTTCTGTCTCTTTCACACACACTGACTCATCCTTCCTCATCTTTGTCCTTGTACAGTTTATTGATCTTTTTACACTGACGCAGTACAGCAGAGGGGAAAAAAAGCAGAAACAGGAGAAAAGGAAGGAAATAAAAAGTGAGTAGACGCCACTGTTCCACCACCTTGTGATTTATGCAGCTGCTCTTCACTTCTTGTTTCCTACCAACAGTCAATGACGGTTTCTTTTACCTGTGACCAAATCCTAACCAATCCGTCTTTGTGATCAAACCTTACCAAACTAACCACCCACTGCGTTGAACTATGACGCCCCAGTGCGTTACAAACTGACGCAGATGGGTCTTGACCATGCGTCCATGTGAGACGAGACGGGGTGTCAGAATGGGTTGGATTAGTGAATGCTTATGTGTTTTTGTCTGGAGGGCAATTACAAACAGCAGTTTAGTCATTTAATTTGAAGTGTGTAAGTTGTGGTGGTGTATGGTTTTGGGTCAGGTATATACAATGTCGCTAACATGTACTCTACAGTAACACTCTGTTGGTACTTTGTATTTGAGCTGTGCATATCCAGTCAACACAGTTGTAGACCAAATCAGACTCCTTCCCTTTGGCAAAAGAAGCTTTGGTTTAGGCAGTCTTTAGGCAACCCTGTCTCCTAGAAATTAAGTTTATATACTAGTAATTGTTTGTGTCTGTGTGTGTCTGTGTGCGTGTGGGTGAATGTGTCTGTATATTTCTTATTTCTACTTGCAATTCTACTGCATTCTCCACCTTATTTTAGTGATTACTCACTAATACTAGAAATGTGTTGGGGAGACACAGTGACACTCTGATTCTGACTTGTTTTGCATCAGGCTCTGCAGTTTTAAAAATAGACTTCTAACTTTGCAGTGGAATGATTCCCAAGGACAGAAAAAGAGGGACGGACTGGGTATTTGGAGAGCCTGGACACCTGTCAGGGGTTACCATGCCAACAACACAAGAGCTGGTCTGTGTATGTGTGTTGTAATGGCATCTATGGCAATCTGGCAGGATGTTTAGTGTAGCTTGCAATTTGGTAAAATGGGTTGTATGACCCTGTGGGTGCACACGCGCACACACACACACACACACACACACACACACACACACACACACACTAATTTCAGCGTGAACCTGGAGAGCTTTTTGTCTTCTGTGGTTAGAAGTGGTGATCATTCATCTGTTCAGTCATCCATTAATTAATTTGTTCATTCCCCATAAGGCTGACTTTTAGACTTGTCCTAGAAACATTTTCACCTTGTTTTTTGCTGGATTTAAACCTTATTTAAAAGCTTTCAACATTAGACGCACCATTAAGCACCTATTCATCCCCATTATCAACATCAGTTTGTAAGTGCTCAGAGTGGCACGGCTGATTAAAAATGTTTAATTGCCTTTCTGAAGAAGCTCTCCCTCCGAGGTTTTACTGG